ATAAAGTGTTATTTTAATGGTAACGAATGTCGATCGCGTGTTAGTTGCATAATAGATTGTTGACTTAATGATTTTAACGTTGCAGAGTGAATGTTTTTAATTTCTGTCTGTGTGAATTGTAATATAGAATCAAATAATGATTGATAAATCTTTCTTACTGGAGATTATAATCATGTTTTTTTTTTACTGTAAATCCTGTAAAAATTTTCTATTTAATTTCGTATTAATTTCTATTTAAAACGTTGCATGATAAAGAAGAGAAGTGATCAATTAAATTGCTGAATGGGAAACCTTAGCCTCCCAGTGACTACTCTAATCGATAAATCTATTCGAACGGTCGGTAAAAATGTTTTCCTATCTAAATTCAATAATCTAAAATGGCCGCCACCCACGCCCTATTTTTCCAAATCGATCGCATACTTCACAATTCTTTAGGTATTTCACTTAAAACGAACAAGAAAAAGAAGTCAAGAATTCAAGAATTCAAGAAGAATTCAAATCGTCTTTCGTTCATTACGTGTGTTGAATTAATCAGAAGCAAAACACTGGTTTCTAACGAGTTGAATAACCCTGTACAATAAGTGCTACATGTTGCAAGTAAGAGATACCTGTAAAGCTTTCGTCAAACACAAAAAATTTCAGTTCGTTTGAATGCTTTTCTTTCCGTTTGTTTACCATCAATAAATTGTTTACCGAGGTTAATTCCATGTCCCGTACGCGAAGGGTTAGCCGCGTCTTGATAAAGGAATTCCATTTGCCGCGCAGCCTCCAGACTCAACGAGCATCGTCATAAAAGGCTTTATCTGCTGAGCAGTCTATCTGCGGATTGTGTACAGTAATGTTCCCAAGTCGCACATGGTGTGTTGATAAGCATTAAACGTGTTTGTGGCTGCAAGATAACTTGCGCATTTTATTAATAACCGTTAAGTACACCAACAGATTATCGTCGCTCACGGTTTTGCATCTGGCTGTGCTTTGCTTATTATTAGAGACAGCTTTAACAGAGCTAATTATAGGTGATATTATATATCCATTGTCTCTCCTGCTGGCTGATTCCTTTAGAAACACGTCGTTGTCGAGGTCATCGTCTTATCGACGCTCATCGTCCCGCGCGAATCGAAATATTACCACTATGGTTTTCAACCAGCGCCGTTCGATTCTCGTTACGAGCGCGTCAGTGATTTTTATGCTGTACGGTGGCACCACTGCCGTGGTAACCTCAGCGTTTGACAGAAAGCGAATATCCCGTTGCCGCAATATTTCGATTGTTCGATTCTTTGTCTTTTTCTACGTCACTTTTCTCTGAACAGTATATGTATTTCTCGTAATGTAGATTTTGATATGTATTACTTATTAAAGATTTCTCAGAACAACAGGAAAACGTGTTATTTTTCGTATACGGTTTGCTACAAGTAATCTAACAATTTTAGTGTTCCTCAATTACGTAATACGTTACAGTGTAACTGTTTCGAAAAATTACTTTATCTCTCACCTATCTTACGCTCTATTATGCGAACGAACATATAAAAAGAAGTCTGTGCGAGTCGTTGTCATCGCCTAGAAATACGAGAGGTGACGGTTGGTCAAGCCGTGTTTACGCTGGCATCCTTACAGGAGAATTGATTTCGGTAGCAAAATGACCAAGGCAATGCGACAAACCGACGTCAACGAAAAGTATATCGCGGTAACGCTCGAGATGCGTTGGCTCAGATAATTCTTCCCCTCCTTGTTTTCTTTTTCCGCACAAACGAGTGTTCACGCGAGTAAGTGCATCGCGGCCCAAGCGATGATACGTTTAACTACAGTCACGGTTATTATGGGAATGTTTACGGAAGATTCTTGGAAACGTATGCCGCCGTTCGGTCTTGAACTCGAGTCGCGAAACGATCTTCGTTAGTGGACACGAATAATTCCGAGATTAAACAATTCGTAATATTGCGAAATTTACGGTGTAATTATGATAAATAACACGTATGCCTTTTTACTTAATTGCTTTTATGTTGTCTCAAGTTTAGATAATACATACATTGATTATATATTTTATCCATGCGTTAACAAGTATTCTTCGCAATAATTCACTATAGAGGATTATAGATCAAATTGAAGGCAAGTTCAAGAAACATGTTTATGATGCAGGGGAACATCGTTCAATTGAACGTTCGATTATCTGCACAAGTGCCATCTAGCAAAGGGAAACAAGCATTCTATGTTTACTTCACTTACATGTTCATATATCGCTAGCTTATCGTCTTGAATTCGTCGGTATAACAGTGTGCATAATACCAACATGAGAAATGAAACGTGTAATAGCGAGGGTGACAGAAAAAGTGTAATTTTTAAATTGAAAATTTCATCAATAATTTAACATTGAGGTGTAATTTTTTAGTAATCGCACCTTCGATAACATGCAAATATAAAAATAGATATCAAAGTATGATATTTTTGTATGCTATGTCCTAGTAAAACACGTGTGACGTATTTGGCTTCTTTTCGAAGTAAATAGAATTATATTTATTGAAAACTTAATCATCAAGTATAATTAACAAATTAACATTCCACTGTGCTTTTTATATTTTACACCATGGTCACTTTTTCATGACTATTGTATTATTTACATGTAGTATTGGTATCATTAAAAATAAACACCATTATTTGTTGGACTAGCTCATATTTTATTTTAGATTTCATCGAAAAATTAGCCACCGGCTGCAGACGATTACCATGACAGTAAACGTATAAGGTAGCACCTAAAAACGTTATCATAACTACATATTTGTTCATTATAAATTTAAATTGTTACTTGTGTAATTTGGTATGGACTATAAATCTCTTTTGAATAACATTATTTACGTATATAAATATTCAGTGTCTTTTTAACCCCTTGACTATTCATTATTCTAATATTGTGTGAAATAAGAAAAGCTAATGTCAACAAACTAATTGAAAAAAATGCGTTCCTTTTACGTCTCTCTTTATTCAAGCAAATAAAAAAAAGTCACAAGGAGATAAATCAGGCGAACACAGGGGTTGATTCAACGTTGACGATGTGTTACTTTCCACCAGAAACTTTAACACAGCTCTTCATTTTAAATTGCGTTACATTTTTCACATAACACAAAACTCGAACACGTCCTAACACGAATCAACTTGCACAAGGACTAATGCGTTTGACACTGTTTACTGTTCGCGTGCAGGTAGTAGAGGAGGGGTCAGGCTAAAGAGCAAAGGAGGGGGGTATAACTGTTTACATTGTTACCACTTTAACGGAAACGAAATTATTTTCGAAACTTTATTGCTACCCTTCGTATTCGAGGATGACCAACCATAATATTATTCTTTACCATAACCCCTCTGTACTCCCCATAAAACATCCTACCTTTTCCATGATTATTACACAAAGAGACCATAAATTGAAATAAAAGTTTATTTCTTTATGAAAAGTTGCTTTTACGTGTCTTCCTTTTATGTATATTCTTACTTTACGATGTATGTATATTCTTACAATTTATTTCCATAAACTGTTCTTTTTAATTAAATGAAATTTTTGACTAATTTCTCGAAACTGAATGACCATGGACTCAAACCTTTTCCTAGTTCTTTTACCATGGACCCAAACCTTTCCCTGGTTCTTTTACCATGGACCTAAAGGTATACCATAAATCGAATGCACGTAAAACCAATTCAATCAAAATATCGTATTTCTTGCCATCTCCTTGATAGTTTTTTTTTTATTCTTTTCACCATTCTTTCTTTGCGACAGCAAATCAAATTAAACGTTCCACTTCTTCTCTTATTTCAGATGAAAATTGAAACGTCTCAGGATATGACGTAAATATCGTGTGGCAAAGAGCGTACGGGCAACGGCACAATGAAGAAGAATCTCGCGCCGTAGTCGCCGCCTGCGATGTTAGTCACACAGTCACCCTCCTCGACGGACAATCTGTCGAATATGTTGTCGGTACTCGAGGAGGAGGCGAACGTCGATATCGACGACGCATTCCCGCCGCACGTCGACACGTCGAACATCATTATACAGCCGGAATCGCCCACCGGCAAAAAGCAAGCGCTAAAGACCTTCAACGAGGTCAACACGCTTCTACAGGTCGGCAGAAAGAGGGAGGCTAAGCTGATCGTAAGGGAGAACGCGTGGCCATTGAACAACGGGATTAGGGCGCAACTATGGCCAGTCCTTTGCCAACAACACGTACACGGCAAGAACATGCTCGATGGATTCTATTGGGACATGGTCAATCAAGTTTTTGGAACTACAGGTACGTTTCAAAACATCTCAACATTGTGATCTACGAGTTACAGGTGATACAACCAATATAGCGGATAAATTATTAACGATCCAAGTTACTTTCGCCGTGTTTAGTTCCAGCTAATCGGTACTCGTTTGGTCACTTTCAGACGATATCATGTAATTGCCTTTATTTGAATATTTCAGCATCTAATTAATACAACAGTATATTCATATTAATGTAATATATTTAAATGGTTTGAGTTGAAAAATGGTTTATTACCGTTTATAATTTGTAATATATTATTGTATGATATCTGAAGGCAAAAATTTTTGTGCCGACCTGGTTTTGACAAAGAGGACTGACTGGAACATGATGGCTGGTTAATACATAATTTAATCCTTAATTTTTGCCCCTTTTGCACTTCCACCTTAATGTAATAAAAACATTTTTAAACGATACGGCCAAAACAAAAAATGCCAGATGTTTTTATCTCATATTAAGATTTTTAAGTAATATAATAAAATAACGAACATCTCATTAATGAAAAAACAAAAACAAATGTAGCATATATTTGCTACTTATTATTGCAGATAATAGAATGCTAAAGATTACACAGATCAAATAATTACAATGTGAAAAAGCTGGTATAATGGTTGTATAATTATCTGTTTTAACAAAGTTAGCTTGTGTAATTATTTATGTTTGTATAAATTATATTTTAGACTGACTTCAAGTAACCGAGTAACCAAGAATTTCAACAATAGTACAGTTTTTAGAACATCTGACATATAAACATTTTTGAATATAGAAAAAGCTGCATAAATTGGTGTATTAAAATTAAAAATTCATTAGAATTTGTCGTGTTTTCTAGGATTTGTTAAAGTTCGAAATTGTTCAAAGAAGTTATTTACCATTCTAATAATAACCAGCAGAAAATCTATTTATACGAATATGTATTATTAGCGTCTCGATACGTAAACCTTGCACGTACAGCAAGAATGTTTTTGTGGCTAAAATTTGTCATTGCAAGAGTTACTGTGTTTGACGTACAAAAACTTTCATCTTTTCCTGTTGGCTTACTTTTTTAAATTCATTCTATTTAAATGTATGCACTTGTTCTTCTTTCAGTAAGATATTAACATTTCTAGTTTACTATAGTGCTATACTTTCCAACAACTTCGTAACAAATTGAGTTAACACAATCACGAGTACAGTTGCATGTCTATATTAAACAAAGTATATATCCTACCTGTTTGTTATATTGCAAGAAACGAAATTTTTGTATCGTCATTTGAACTGTTTTCACCACGATACAATTAGTCACTTATTTACAATCCCAAGTTCGTTTGCAACGATCCGCTTTCTTCGATATACGAGTATAGAATGACTTTTCTTTAACCTCGACAAAAACACAAAGGTTCAAATCGTCCCTATGTCCGCACAGCTGCGCGTTAAGCCTCTTCTTTCAATGTGTAAACAAACGCGTATTTCTGAGGTCTTAAAGCGGTTTTCAACCATCTACTTTTCACGCTGCTTTAATACTTGTGAAATTTTAACGCTATTACGATTTCATGTTGTAATATGTAAATAATTCGCAGGACATAATACAAAAATTTACATACTTGCATATTTATAGTTGTATTATTGTGTTTCATAGAAATTAAACGTGTCTGTGCTGTATTTTCAATTACGTGAAATCACCATAACTACTTACGCAGGTGGTTAAGAAACATAGAAATACGACATAAATGATAAATTTATGCTGTTTTCTCTCTCTCTCTTTCTGCTAAAACAGTAACGACAAACCGTGGAATATTATTTATAGTATGCATAATACATGCTTCTCCTGTAATTAAAAGTTTATTAAGTATTCTTTTTAATTCTTTTGCTATGGAAATTTAATAGTATTATTATTACTTGATTATTCAGTAATGTCTTACATTTTTTCAATTAGTTATGATATTTTGTTCAGTCTTTGAAAGTTATGCGAACTACCTACTTTTACATCGCAACAGAGTTGCAGTTTAATTTCTTTGCATTATAATAAATTTTCTAGCAATAAATTTTAATAAAAGCCAAATTGGAAAGTGTAATTCAAGTTTATTACAGTTCTTCCATAAATAAGATTGAAAACAAACGAGAAAAAACGAATAATTGTACTTAATTCTTGTTTAATGGATCTCTTTCATGCACGTATAAGTGTATTACTTCAGTCATCATGAGCTAATATCCAGTTCGCGTGATTTCATGAGTTTGATCCACGAGTTTGAATGTTCGTGTTACTTCAAATATTTCATATCACGTAGACGTGTACTCATTGCTAGAAAAATATCGTGATATATGGCATCTTGGTTCAATTACTGTCAAACATGATCAATAAACGAGAAATTCAACGAGTGTAATCAGTGAAACATGACCTTATAACGTATAGAAGAAATTATCTTAATTCTACTTAATAAATTCCGATTGAACGGTGAACTTCGCGCGCCTTTTTTTTTAAATATCTTTTTCATACAACCTACATTTCCAACTGATTTAAGAGCGTTTCCATTTCTCTTTGAATAGAGAGATTAATTATCCATTATATTAATTATCAAAATAAGTATTCATGTATAATTTAGCAGAGAAGTATTTTAATCGTGCACGCCTTTACCTAACATCAAAACTTTATTTTAACGTAGACAAAAGCCACAAAATCCTTTACACACATCGCAAAACTTTCATTTATACTGCACTCAATAACTTTAATAATATTCAGGATTTCTAAAAACAGCTCATCCATTAAAAATCACAATTCTCTACCTATTTCAATGTACCACAAAAAATTAAGTCGTATAATATGAAATATCGAATTTCTAATTATTCCCAAATTGATCGCTCAAGCGATTACCCAAGTATTAGGTTAGGTTAGCTTAGTCACGTGATGACTTGAGCGTCGAAACGTCTTTTTTTTCTCGCGTTAATTTAAAATTTATGCAATTAGTGATAAGTTACCATTAAGGAATCTGAGAAGGATGTTTGTTTGAATTTAAAAAACGATCTTCATTCCTCATACTGCTATCTAATATAATCATACGACACATATGTCATCGTCTCTTATTAGACCATATGGTTTTCCAGCCATTCGAACCAGCGTATTTACTTTTAAAATCAATGACTGATGGTCCGGAATTACTTGTTTACAGAGCTACCGGAAAAATCAATCATGCTACCGCCGTTCGTGGACAGCACTCATTGCCTGTCGTACCACCTGACGAGGAAAGGCAGGAGCGTTGCGGACAGGGTTGTGTCTGTGCTGGGATATGCCTGTCCTGATATCACCTACAGCCCTTCTCTTTACCCCATCACGGCTCTTCTTCTTCACTTTATGCCAGGTAAATTTGTATAAATAAATAAACCAGAGGGATTATCGTTATATATATAGAACAAGAAGGGCGGTATAGAACTTTCCAAGAAGTTTCATATCATTTGTTTCATAGTCACAATGGAAATTCACATCGCGTGCCGCGCGTAAGTCCGAGGTTTCTTGCCCGATCGCATAAATTAAGACGTTAGACACGCGGTTGGATACAATCCCAATGTTATTAATAGAATAAAATCGAGAAATGTTCACGAGATTACAGTTTTCCATTCCGTTTGTTTCAGAGGAGGAGTGTTATCATTGTATGGCAAGCTTGGTCGCCGCTAAAGACAAGATGTTCATTACGCAAACCAAGCTCCTCTACGAGGTTACCTGGAAAACTGTCGAGCAAATCACCAAGAAGCACGTGGTGCGTAATGTTAGACACAAGTTGCCCAAGATGAATCACGTTCCAACCGTTCTGGCCTGTTTGGCTTGAAGTGATCATCATTTTTACATAAAGATACTGTGTTTACCGGGAATCTGTGGCCGTGTCTTCGGCTCCCTTTTCAAACGATCCTCGATGTTTTTCTAGGTGTGGGTAAACGCAAGTCATTTCTACATCAAACAGACTGGAACGGGAATACACGTATTACGCGCGATTATTTCTTTATACTTGAAGAATGAATCATGAATTTTCTAACGCTTAGTAATTCTAAAACGTGAAAGAGCGCGTTGTGAAAAACTGCATGATTAATCAAGAAATATCATATGATGTAATTGCACTCTCTCGTAAAAATTAAGATGCTCGATTTTTTTTTTTTCTTCAATGTGTTTATTTCATTTTATACTCGAATTAGATTTTTATCTATATTCAACGAAAGTGTACATTTTAGAAAGACATGTAGTAAAAGGAACGTAAAGAAAGTATGTAATTTTAAAAGTAAAATTGAAAGTTTCACTTTATAAAAATCTTGTAAAAACTCAACGTACAATTACGTGCAAATAAATATACATAATTGCTACCGTTTTCATTGAAGAAATCAGCTGCTGTACATTTAGCAAGGCACTGCTCTGGATCCAGAGCGGAAAGGATTTACATGGATTGGATCTGGTGGATTCTGCAGCTTCTTCCTTTCCAGCATCTAGTCAGGGTTATGGACTGTTTTCTTCACGAAGGCATCAAGGTGTGTATTTGCAAGATTCACAAGGAATCATCAAGTAGATTTTAGACTATCTTTCTTTTATCACATCTTTTCACGGTACATTAAAAAAGACATCATTGGCTTTGGTTCAAAGCGAGGATGAAGTAAGAAATATGTATAATATGGAATGCTCTTTTCCAGGAATAGTATAAATGGTAAATCCGCGTGTTTGACCATGTGCCAGTGAGAAATCGGTTTAATGCATGCATTTTTACACGTTGACTCTTCCTAACGTACAACGCATCAACTGAATATCTTGCATATTTGTAATACAGAAATTTAGATCTGCTTTAATGCGCTCAATTTATTCGTTGCAGGTCTTCTATCGAGTAGCAATGGCTATAGTTTTATTATTCTATAAGCACTCGTCACTGCAAAATTCTGAATGGATGAACGAAATTTCGAAAAATGGTATTGACGCTGCCCTCTCAAAGTTCTGCAGGCAAATACCGGTAGGTATATGTGTAGTTATTTATACAATTCCTTAACACCATTCACTTTGAAAAAGAAAAAAAAGCAGGCAATTTAAAGAGAGTATGAAATGGGAAATTAGCTATAGAAGTTTCTATTTATTAATCTGACGAATGTCTAGTAAAGTAATATCCAAAAGTAAAGATAATTGCACATAGAATAATAATTATTTTTCACAAACTTATAGGTAACATCAGCAAAATTTTTACGTACCGCATTTGGAATACGTGGACTCAGCTCAGCATACATATCAAGGGTATTTTTGCGTACAGAAATGGCTCTAAAGAGTAGAAGTGTTTTAACGGGGTCTAGATCATTAGCTAGATCACGATCCACGGACAATCTACCGACGAGTCAGTCTCAAGTCAACATTCAGATGATGTCACACACGCTCACAATAAGAGAAGTATGTTATCCGTATTCCTCTTTTATGGAAGATGGTGTAAAACACTGGCTATTCGAGAAAGTATTCTTGTCAAGTATGGACTCACGTACATGCTAAGATTTTATTTCATACTATCTGGTGGTTTCTCCTTCTGGCTGACTCTTACGAAGTATAATTCTGTTACTTCTGTAGTTCTCAGTATTGGCATGTTAACGATGTTACTCTTCCGTTTACTTTCAGAATATCAAATTATGTTTATTAAGAATGTACATATATGTGAGCCCATTATTATTATCTTTAAATGTTGCGAATGATTCTTTTATTTGTGAGACATGTTGCAGGTTCAAAGGCTTAGTATCAGTAGTTAACGTGATTAATGTTTCTTATAGTAGAATAAATATAAGTAGACATTTTTCAATGATCATCGGTTAAACAATAGTTTCTTAGGGTATCAGAATGCAAACTATGCAAAAGCTGTTCAATGATTCACTTTGTTTCATGTGCTCTGCCCTCTGTTCCTGAACTACTATTACCTGTTACATTCATTCATACTCACCCATTGTTACACTTATCGTGCCAGCTTTGTTGCTGTTACCGTCTATCCACTTGCAGTTACTGCCGTTTTGAATAGTAGAGAATAACAAAGATTTCTTCCGATAAAATTCATATCTTCTACTCATTAGGTCTTCTCACTGGCTTTCAGTGTTTCACAAATATGACACGCCGAATGTAACAATAAAAAAAAATTTATATATATGTGTATTTTGTATATTCTATCGAAAAAGTCCCTTCTTTGTTATATATACATATGTCTTACCAAGAACAATGTTGAGAAACTCAATACATAGATGGTGACTGTTACTGGTGGGCTACACGAGATGTGTTTCTTGCTTGTCATTGATCGATAGGATGGTCGAACTTGTCTCTGAAAAATAGAAGAGTGAAAGAAAAACTGTTGAAAGCGCTTCAAATCGCGGCGACATCAATTTCGATCAGTGAATGCAGCAGCGTGCTTCATAAACTCAAGTCTATCTGCAGTTCGTTATCATATTTTGGTTGTAACAGCTGTACAAAAGAAAACCAAACAGCAGGCGTTTTAAAACAGACGCATTTTAATTTTATATACTAATTATTTTCAATGCTTCCGTAGCACATCGATTACATCATTTAATTTTCTTTTTTGAGATTATTACATCGGTTACACTGGTTAACAGTGAGTTGAGCATTGATTCTCTATCCATATACTCTACATATTTGTGTGTGGCATTAAGAAAAAGAATATTTTGAAAATCATGGCCGTTGTTTCCTGTTATGCTCTGTGTCTCCGATGGTTTTAACCAGTGTTTCGCATAATATTATTCCCAGTTGATACGTAAAGTTGAGCAAAAACCGTATGTTATTATAACTGACGGTTCTGTGTTGTCTTGTGTCATGCTGCGTTACTGGAATGATGATGGATTTAATGGTCATGGGTGTAGGGTGCACACAGTCCTGGACCGCGTGCTCTGTCAATGGGCGTTTATCCCATACAAAGCATATGCTCCCAGATTCTAGACATGCCTGATGTAAGTACTTACGGCCGTTCAGCGCTAATTCAGAAACAAAAAAAGTTCGGCAATAGCAGAGTTTTCTGTAGTTCACTAGTCGCCTCTTTGTGGCATGTCGATATTGTCGTTATTGGTGTACATACAGCCGCCTTGAAGTATATATTACATAGGTTATTTAGTCTACATGGTACTCCCATCTTTGACTATTACCAGAAAGATACGTTTAGCGTGTAAGATATGTTTCACGTTGATTGTACGGTGGCAATTGTTCAACAGCTCTTCTATAATAAATTATGAAAAGGGCCAAACTGATGTAAATGAAATTTTATCGTTATTCACACTCAAGGTACAAGTACAGTTAGTGATTATCGATTAAGTCAGTTTTTGAAGTCGCGATTTTGTAGTCGTCGTTACTTCTCTGGTGTACTTCTTTTTGCCTGAGGTTTAATATTCTTGTAGAGTGTTCACTTTGAATTGAATTGTGTATGGCCTGATTTATATATTGAATAGAACAGTGCACTCTCTCGTACTCCTTCTAAATAAATTTATATGCTCAGTTTTATCATTCTCTGGCTATTAATCTGGCATGTGTTGTTTCCATTTTATTTTCATGCATTCGTAGCGATTTTCCTTGGAGTTCCTTTCCTAACCCATTTTCTAATTTGTATTGTCATTTCCCTTTTCCACGTGTTTTAGTTTATTTATTGATATTACTACTGTGCAACACCAATAGTACCTTCTGTAGAAAACTAGTAGCTATGATTGTAAACTTTTTGAACACCATTTAAAACACTTGTAGTCATAATCAAATATACATTCTTATACTTTTTTAATCCTTTATCATATCATTTGCATTGTTCTACCAAGTTTTCATTTCACAATCTTAATTCACTTAAAATTTATAATGTCCTTGCAATTTACTTTTATATTTGAATGATGCTGTTGCCTTTTGCATGATGAATGAGTTTTTGCATCCTATGTAAGCATATTGAGTTTCTTAGTATTTTTAACATTTTTCTTCTTAATAGTTCCTCTATTATTGCACCAGCGTTATAGATTATTGTATAGATTATTAGAAAGACAAATGTCTTTATTAAGAAACAACAGAACAGCTGTACATTATATTTCCTTTATTATAGACAGAACTAGAAGATTAATAAACTACTATTAATACTTAAAAGACTACTTAAAAGACGATTTAAATATGTTCCATTAAAATTAATATAAATGATTAATCATAATGAAGAATCTAATATAAAACTTTAATTTGTAAATATAATTTACGATTTAAAAATTTATTAAAGAACAAACCTAATTTTGTGTAGATGTTTTATATAAAATTATTAATAAAATTTACAGTAGAACCAAATTGACAAAACAAATACAGTGTTTGTTATACTGTATGGCTTTATAATTACCTATTTTATTAATTTTTTTTTCAGTTAAGCGCATGATCTACCGCTGTTGTGACTTAGTTTGCTGTATTCTTGAACGACTAGAAAATTATTCAGAACTAATGTTTGCACAGTTATAAATACTAATAATAAATGTCATATTAATTTTGTATGTTTGCTTTGTGACAGTTATTCACATTATGGTCCTGGCTGCCTATGAGGATCACCATGTATCAACCAATTCTACTATATACAACGGAAGAGCACGGTTGTTCTTTGACAACATTCTATGTAAGAGTAGAGCAACATGAACCAACCCTGCTGATGATAAAAACATGTAACAATGAAGTATGTTTCTTCTACACGTAATTAACATTTTCAATTATCTGCTCCGAGTATATAATTAATATTTGTTTCTATTATTTACCATCAGGTATTTGGAGCCTACTGCTCTACAAGATGGTGTGAACGTAATTTGAAGAATGATAAAGGACAAAGGCAAGCTTATTTCGGAACAGGTGAAACATTTCTGTTCAGTTTGTATCCTGAACGTGCAAAGTACCCGTGGGTAGGCATGGACTCTGCGCACAATGATTCTAAGGTCCATCATTCAGCTGAGCTATTCATGGCTGCGGATTCCAAAATGATAACAATTGGTGGAGGGTAAGATCTTTTTGTTAACACCATCAAATAATGCTGTTTATAAATACCCAGAGATTCCACGATGCAGAAAAAATAATACGCTTTCGTAAGAATTTCATAAGTATTTGTGGACAAATAGAATGATACATGTACTTTATACGTCATTTAAAAATTATAAATATAATAAATTGTACGAAATTACATTCAACATTACTAATTCATTGTTTTCAGAGACGGACAAGCTATATGGATGGATGAGAACATAAGATATGGTAAAACAGATCGGTGCTCTACGTTTAATAATCCACCTCTTTGTGCCAGCGGCGACTTTGAAATTAGGGTATTAGAAGTATATGGATTTGCCGGTGCTTGAGAAGAAGACAGAGCTTGGCACTACGATGTATCAGTTTATTTGATTCCCTACTGCCATTTAGCGACTCTCTTCTACATATACAGAGTTGTATACATTACATACAAGTATCTTCGTATCGTATCTGTGCAAAATTGCTGCGTTCTACGAGGCGCGGTATTTGTGATGCATCCTCAGTCGTTTGCGAGGTACTAGTATTATTATGTGTGCATGTTTCGTTGTTGAGGCGCTACGAGGTTCTGTACCGATTGAGATTACGTAGATTTATCTTCTTCGTTTTATTACGCTTGTTCGATTATTTGTCCCAACGTTCACGGAAACGACCAAACGATTTTTACATTTATTGTGTTGCAATTTCATTCCTTAATAGGAAACGAAACGAAATTACATCGAATGGTTGCTAACACGTAGATTGTAACCCGCGACACAGTGAACATTGACAATAATCAACATTGACTCATCCTCAGTTATATCGTGAAATTTGACATCTATTATGTAAATATGTAAGAAACGATTGGTTATTTACATGAATACTTAATATTATTCATTGGACCAGATGCTATGCTAATGTTTGTGTGTGTATATATATGTATATATATACACATATATATGTTGCATACATTGTTGCATACACAATATATATGTATATATGTTGCAGATTAATTTCATCGAATCTATCGTTAATTTTGCAATTTGACAGTAATGCTCGTATGCATATGTGTTAATGTCTTGCAATGTTTATTTACCTTAGTATTGTTACGGCTAGCTTTAATCAATTGTTGGATGACAGCGCGAAAGAACCGAAAGAAAGAATACTGTTTATATGTTACATATTATGTTTGTCACACGTTAACCGTGTATGTATATATGTATACAGAATATACACATACACAGTAAGTCACCTAAAGCTAGAACCTGAAATATCTTCGAAACTGTCAATTATATCGACAAATTTTTTACACAAAAGTTGAATGGTTATATATATAATTTTTTTTACGAGGACGCGTAGAGGAGATAGGAAGGTCAAATTTTCTTTTTGTTAATGGAATCATACATTTCTTAATGCATTAATCAACTTTTGTCTGAAACATTTGTCGGTATAGTCGACAGTTTTAAAGATATTTCAAGTTCTAGGTGACTTATCTATGACAAGCCTTAGGTGACTTACCTATGTATATATATATATATACATACATATATATTAATTTCATATTAATTTCTTGTATATATTATAAATAGTGCCCCTTGTGCAAATAGGCACATGCAAACGATTCATACACATGTATACATACATCGACGAGTATCGAAATTGAGTATAGAAAGAAAAGAAATGAGGAAAAATTGATGGCAGGGGGCGAATGGTACTTTGAAACAACGACATTTTTTATTTTGTAGTGATGATTGTGTTTAAGAAGGAAAGGAACGAACGTCAGTTGAGTCAAGCGATAATTGACTTGTTTTCTAAACCGAAATAAAAGCCATAGTTTTCATGTAGTTTCTTAAGGTATTTGTATATTTTATATAGCATACATTTACGTCGATAGTAGAGTAAAAACTAATACCGGATATAAAAGAGCTACGTGTACAGAGAAACAGTGCGATGGGTTTACTTTCGATAGATGTATATTTTCATGCAACACGTTACTTTATCGACACATACATACACACTTCGGGCATTCTGAGGAAGCGTAATAGCGTTACTATCGTTATCCTTTGTCTCTCTTTGTGATCAAATCTGTATCGGTGTCGTACGGTACACGATTAACTCTTAGAGTACCTGCTTCTGTGTTTAGTTTCTTGTTATTTTTTTCCTCTTTTTTTTTTAGAATGAAAGAACGAGATAAAGAGTGAGATTCAGAATGCATGAGAAACTGAAGGCGTCGATTTTAGATTCCTTGGTTGTGATGTAGAAGTGGCTGGCACCACTTTTGTCCAAGCGACAATATCTACTAATTATAATGTTTGCGTAGGAGGATCATGTATCTTTCACCCCCCGTCACGTTATCGACTGTAAAATAACGCAACATGGAAAAATGTTGCGTTGTTATGATATCATTGCGCGTCAAAGTCGTCAGAAAACTAAAAAACAAACAAACACTTAAAATGGTAGAATCTAAGAAACGCTCAGTACACCAGTTGAGTCACTTCTTCCGTTTTTACTTGCTGTAATCTATCATGTTAATTGATTTTTCTCATATTGACCTGTTGTATAATTGTTCAAGACACAAACGCAGGAATGAAACGAACAACATAACAAAGAACAATCAACACTATACACGGCGCTATTGAATCCAATTCTAAATGTAACGAGTTCTAATACTGAATTTAGCGGTTGAACCCTTTTTCGAGATTCTTATAATATTAACAAAGTAGTTCGTAGCGAGAAAAACAATAGCCAATTACGTTGATATTCTGACGTGTTTTAAATCTACGGTATTATTCTCGCGTTCTATCTAATATTAGTGAAAGTAAAAAGGGAACACTGCTGATCTCACCGAGAAGCTACACTATAATAGGGTAGCATGAAATGTATGTTTTACATTGCCAGGAATCTGTATCAGAACATTTGGAAAGGAGTTGAGTTACCCGACTTAAATGTAAGAAGTACCTTATTGAAAGGTACTTGAACTCGTCAAGACAGTTCATTGCAATTTTAAAGAAGTATAACTACATTTATCAGGATTTAACAGGATGCGAGTAAATGTGCATTTTTGTACAATGTGAGAATAGTTGAAGAAAAGGGAATCTGCGTGTGTAGAGTTCCATACAGTTCAATTAGTGTATTATTAATTTATATTTATATACAATTCATTCATAATACGTTATTTTTTGAAATCGCAGTTTTCATTTCTGCGCTAGTATCCTTTTCTTAACTATTCCGAGATTCTTAACAGAGAAATATTATAAAGTGGTTGCAGACGCTACTAGTACGGACGATTACTTTTTGTGAAACTTTAGTCGTATAATAACTGAATGAATGAATATTTATTTATTGTGTATCCGTGATCGAGAGAAAGATGATAATGATGATGACGATGTGCTGACAATGGAAAGTATTATTGTTCAAAGTTTCTAACGTAGCACAGCATAACATAAATTCACATTAGGAAATAATACAACATACATACATACATACATACATACATACATACATGCATACATTACATATATAAATACACATATACATACATATATATATATATAAATATAAATATAGATATAAATATAAATATAAATATGTAT